TAGGCTGTTGTCCATCTGGGCTGAATAAAGTCATATTGGTTCACTGGATAGTGAGGGAGTAAATACGTATTTTGCAGTATCTGCTAAAGTGTTACAGCAGTTCTGCTAACTGAATCAGTAGAAGCCAGTCAAAACCAAACCGCCGCATACGGTCGCCCGCTTTACATAATGTCTGCACAGAGGGTGCTGCAGCCCCGTGGGGTTGAACTTGTTGCTTCTGCCATCCACCTCCCTATCTGTCTCTGGCATGGGTTTCTGCGGTGTTTGCAGGTGCGGTCTGCAATAACACGTGCTGTCCCCAGGTGTAGGAGGGGAAGTGGGACTTTGTGCACCTTCTCCTTGAAATGCCAACCCCATCTCTTGTGGGAACTGCATGTATGCAAGGTATCTGGGGGCATCCCCTGTCGCCCTTTGCTTACACGTGATTGTAGCGTAAGAATCTGTCTCCTGTCAGCATCCCAAAGCGCGTTGAAAGATGGAAGCTGTGCATAACTTGCATCTTACCTCTTTGGGCAACCTCTTTTGTATTTTAATGACTATGTCCTTGGTTTGTGCTGTCCTTCACTTGTAGTGCCAGTCTTCGGATCATTAGGAGAAAATAACCCATGAAGTAAATTTTTCACAAACAAACAGAAAAACAAACACCCTTTGACACTAAAAAGAGGAAATCACAGCATTTACCTCTGTAACTTTGTCCTTTAGCAACAACTTAATGAGCTGGAAAAAAAAAAGACACGGGGTGCAGAATTAGAAGGATGCAAGCGCATGTGTATGTTTAAATTTTAAAGAAATGTGACTTGTGTTCTATATATTCAGTGGTCTAATATGAGTTAGAACATGCCACTGTCTTTTCCTCAGATCAGGAGACAAGAAGCAAGGCTGAATTGCTGCTTCAGCAGATGTTTATCTGTGTCCTTAACCCATGCGGTTGTATGTTGATTTTGGGGATGATCTGAGAGACTATATGATGAGGTTAGAACTGTTAAGAACAAATATTCAGCTCTTCCATTTGTAGAGACAAGGGTGAAGAGAGGGCTCCAAAAATGGAGGGCTCAAGGAATGCAAACCTGATGAGAATACAGAATTGACGAGGGGGTGCTTGGTTAGTTTAGGAGCTGCTTTTTAATTGTTTTTCATTCTGTTTTTAAATTCTTTTTAAAATTGAGGGTAGGTGGAGATGCTGGCAGTTTTATTTGTGCTTTTGCAAATTTTCAGATTTTTCAAGAGGGAATGGGAGGCAGAATTCTATGCTGGCATTTTCTGGAAATGTCTTGCTTTTAACTTTATTAAACTTGCAGACTTTCTGGTTTTATTGACAATTCTCATAAGCAGCAAGAGGGAAATTTGTAGTGTTGTTTTATTGGGGGATGGGTGTTACTGAAATACATAGGAGTTTCTTTACATTGTCAACATTGAGTTGACTGGAAACTTAAGGTTTGGGGTTTGTTTTTTTTTTTGCTTTTTTGGTTCTTTAAAGCACGTAAAGAAGACCTACTCAGTGACAAGAGTCCGTGAAGGTCTGCTGGCCGTGCAGGGACCCTCCCAGACCTTATAAGCCAAACATAGACTTTGTCAAAGTTAGCAACTGCTTGTTGCAAAAGGTCCAGAAAAATTCCGTGTAGAGATGAGATTGACACAATCAGGCAGACTAATTTGGTCTGAGAGAATAAGGTGAAGGAGAATTGTGTTGGTGTAGAAAATCTGTTCTTATTACTAAAAATTGATTTTGACCTTTGTGGAGATACTAATTTCACCTCCTGATAAAAGAAAATTTTGGATGATTGCTCCAGGTCAGGCATACAACACTTGAAAAATTGTTTTGACATGTTTTTTGGCCTACTACTGAGTTTTGTATTTCTGTTTCTTCTAGGTATTTGCTTGCAGTCAGCGTTGCTTGTTTGTTTGAATCCTCACTGCCTTGGCAGTTGAATAGTGTTGCCCACAGGTCCCAGTGTTGTTCTTCGCTCCTATATAATAGTACTCCAATAATAAAAATGAGACAATAATCATAAATAAGACTCTAATAATAAAAATCCCTTTCCAGTTTTGTAATTAGTTGGGTTTGCTTGCTTTTCTCTTGCGTAAGACTTATATTTCATTCTGATTTTTATTAATTCTTAAGAAAAATCATTGTCAAAAATTACCACATTTATTTAGACTACTACAGTGCCTTTGGCTCTTGTCATTAGGGTGGCTTAGTGAAGAGTCTAACAAGAAAATAGCTCCCATGACTTTGACAACGGAGTCTTTATAAAACCCATATTCTCATAAACTAACTCATTTTCAGAGTCATCCTAGGCAGTAGAATGACCCAGCCCGCCACACCGTGTTCAAGGGCCAAGCGAAATGTCTGCATTATGCTCCGTTGTCCCACACCAGAGAATAGGTCTATATGGGGTTCTTGGCGCAGAATTTCCTCTGTTGGCATTATACGTCGAGGGCTCAGTAGCAGAATCACTTTTAATTAGCACATGTGGCAGTTGTTTAAATGTCTGTTTCTAGTGGTGCTGGTGAAGAGCCATTAAACAGATGGGGGGAATTCATGTGGGGATTCGATCAGAACTAACTCACTTAATTGAAAAATTAGGAATCGTTCCCCTGTTGAGTGGGTATGAGTTAAAGACAGCACTCTGGCATGCAGATTGCCTTTCCCAGTTTTTGTATAGTGAAGAGCCAAGCAGATTTGCTCTGCTGTCTTTATTTGTTCTGAAACTATTTGCCAAGTAGTATATCTCGTCCTAAAAACAGGGGTTGGTTTTATTCCATTATTTGGTTAGTTGTTCCTAAATAAACTCTGGATCTAAAAAAAGAAATGTGACCCGCCCAATTGTATATACTGGTTTGGTTTGCATCGAATTTGGAAAAGGAAAGAAGAGAGTAACAGAAGTTAGACAAACAGATGCCCAAAGCCATCTGCTCCTCTCCTCACGGTCATTACATGTTCAGCTTGGAATAGCTCTCCTTTCCTTCAGGACTACGTTGGCTGGCTTTAAAGTGAGCACAAAATGAAGTGGAGACATCTTGTAGGCAGTCACAAACTTCCACAGATTTGCAGTCTAGTTTACATAAACTCAGTACTTCTCAAAAAGCTTCGCAATCCTTAGCCTTGCTGGAAAGCGATTTTGGAGTGACGCAGGGCTGCTATCACAGATTGCAGCTAAGAAACTCGGGATCCTTCAGGAGCAGGATCACAGTTTCCTAGGGCTGGCTTAACCCAGCAGACTGTGTATATCTGTGGTTGGACAGAGCCCAAAGAGACAGTCTAAAAATAATAAATTATTAATGTCTGGAAGACATAAAGCTTAATGAATAAGTAATAAGTTGCAGCATTTTCCTTTTCTTAGAAAAATGTGCTAGCTGTATTTGTTTTAATTTTCCTTTCACTGAGCATTTTTCTCCTGTTGCTCTTTCTAAGTACCCTAAGGTGCTCAAATTCAGGATTAATTTTACAGAAACTAAGGAAGTTATACTGCCGCCAGAGAAGGAGCTTAGGGATGTTTTCTGGAAAGGGTTTTTGCTGATTTTGCTAGCAGGTAGGGAGAGTCTGGAACAGCCGAGCGATTGCACAGCTCCTTCCAGCAGCGTCTCCCAAGCCATGTAACAAAGGAGACCCCACTGTGTGCCTGCAGAGACACGAGCACACAGAGGTAATTTTCCCCAGCATCATCCCTCTGGTTAACAAAAAATTGAATGTTCAGGGTGTCTCCCAGGTCGCATACCTGTGCTTTGCTGGCAGCATAAGCGGGAAAGCCTTTTAAACAAGCATAGGTAGCCTGCAATTTAAAGGAAGACTGGGGTGGGATTTCATCACTGGCCACCACCACACTGCTGACACTGACAGGGATCCAGCCCTTGAACTCTAGCAGGATCCGAGTTGGGCAGTGCTAAGTCCCTTTGAAAGCCCAGCCAACAAGCACATTTGGAGATCGCCTCCTGTTTGAAGTGATGGTTTCTCTGCAGTCCTGGCCAGATTTCAACCTGGAAAACTCTGCTCCACCTGCTTAAAATCCCTTCCCAGAGTTTCACTGGGTATGGCATGGGCCCCTCCTGTTCTGCAGTGCTGCAGTGTCCCCCTTCCAGTTTCATACCACCTGCTCATAAATTGATTTCTAAATCATCTGTGCCTCCGTTTATTAATCAAGCTGGCTTCCTTGTAGTTATTTCAGTGGATCTAAATGTGAAAGCAGTAAGTATGTGCACAGCCCTGGTGCTGTATGGTGCAGTAGCTTCTCTTGGTGTTTATCTGCACCACCCAGCAGGTTGTCATCCCTCCGTATTCCTTTTACCAGTGAGGTTTGGGTTCATCCATGTTAGTTTGAATTGACCTGTTGCCCCCTGTGAGCACATCCTTGTTGGCAGTGGAGTTAGGGAAGGGCTTTCTGTGAGAAGAAGGGGGAACTGGTGCTCAGTAAAGGTGTGGGATCCACTTGGGTCACAGGGTGGATCCTGGGGGAATCAGATCTGTTCTTCCCAGAGGCAAGGTAGCACCTTTCCTTCCACAGGTAGCTTGCTAGAGGATTTTATCACAGTGAGTTTATTTTGTGACCTCAAACTTCCGCACAAAGTCTGCTCTCCTTCCCATTGATCCCTGCTTTCACTTCATATTTCTTTTTTTTTCCTCCCTCTTGGCATGTCATCATGTTTTCATTAATGTATCAACAACAGGGCAGCTGTTGTTGCTTTGTCCCTAGTATTGTCTTCTTCATCTGGACCTTGGGATTGGGAGATCCTTGAAATCTGTGTCTTCTATGTGACTTTTAGGCAGAATCGGGTGCTTCACTTTCCCCCTTGCCTGCAAGTATTTCTCTCCAAGCTGTAAAATCAATCTATTCTGGGTACTTTTTCTTCTTAAATTTGACTGCTGCTAAAACTATGTTTCTTTCATTAACAGATCAGCTTTACAGGAAACTTGTTGCCAACAGCCTGCTCTGTTGTACCCACCGCCCAGCAAGAAAACTCCGAGGAGAAGCTGAGGGCCAACCACGTCTCGGAGACAGTCCATGGGGACTGTACCAGATCCTCTGAGATCTGCCAAGCTTTCCCTGCTCACAACTTCTGCGGAGGAGGACCACCTGGGAGACCTGCAGTCTGCTAAGCACCAGCCCCAACTACCCAGTGGAGAGAGGGCCAGCAATGGCTTCCCGTGCACGCCGTCCCGCTCTGCTGGGGTTTGCTTGTTTGACCTGAAATGCACGGCAGCTACCAGCGCGCAGAGGTGCGAGCAATACTGCGAGGACGATGCTAGCCAGCAGGAAGCCTTCCTTCCTGGGCTCGCCAGCCAAACTGCGGAGGGGCATCCTGCAGCCATAGAGCCTGCTGGTTGCTCCCGGCCAGCGGGCAGCCAGGGACCGGCAGCACCTGCCCCCGCTGCAGCAGAAGCCCCCTTGGTGGGGAGGGGGCCCGAGATGATGCCAGCCCCCCAGAGCTCCCGGCAGTTTGTGCAAGGCAGCCAGGCGAAAACAAGCTCCCTGACGCAAATGGATGACTCTGCTTTGAAAGCTCAGGGAACTGATGATCAGCCAGCACTTGAGGTGTTAAATTATTCTTCCCCGGACGACCCTATTAGGGGTAATGAATCCTGCCATACTTCTCAGGCAAACCTTCTGCAAAGAGGGGAAAAAGACAGGGGAGCAGAAAAAACTGGTTCTGCTGCATGTCAGTCAGCCTTGCCAGTGAGGCACACCGAAGCTGACCTGGGGAGAGACCCACAGACCGGTTTGGAGGTAAAAAGCGGGGCTGCAGACACCACGCAGTTGCATCCCACAGATAAAACTGAAGCGGTGCAGGGCAGCGAGGCACCGGCCCAGTCTAGGCACGAGATTCCGCATCCCATACGCAATGCGGACACCGAGCCAGGGAGTCCAGGCCCCACCCAGCTCTCCAAATTCAGAGAAACGGGTACAATGACGGTTCAGTCGGAGAGCAGCTCTTTAACTCAGGAAGCAGTAAGCAGGACGTGGCGAGATGCTGAGGTTCAGGCCGTGGCTACCGTGGAGAGCAAATCGGCCTCCACCAGTCCCAGCATCCTTGCTGCCTTCTTAAAAGGGACTCTTCCTTCAGAGGAGAAGGAAGAACTGCACATCATTTACCAAGGAGGTATGGGGCTGAGCCAGGCTGCACTTACTGACAGTTTATCCTCACAACAAAAGTCCCCATGTTCTCCTGGTCTCACGTCCAAATCGACTGTTGTTACGGCTGTGACTGCTTCAGCCCAAGCCCAGCCTGCCAAACTGCCTGGGGTCCCAGCTGACGTGGTGTCTCTGGCCTCAGCAGATAATGCAAAACCTGCTCTCCCCTTCTCCCCTGCAGCCGTTACCTCCCAAGGGACATCTGTGGGTAATGCTGAAATGATCGTCGCAGCTCGTGGCGGCAAGGATGCTGCTCGGCTGCCGATGGATGCTCTGGTCCCACCAAAGCCCATCTCTGTTGAGCAGCTTGCAGGTGACTCCAGTAATCAAACTCCAGCACAGTCTGGGTCTGGCGCTGGTGAACCAAGCACTACTTCTGCTGCCGTTGTCCCAGGAACCAAGAATAACGTGCGAGATGTTGTCGACGATGTGGGAAGCAGCCGGTTACCTTTACTCTGTAGCACAGAGGGTGAAGTCAAGCAGAAGGAGGTCCTGGGCAGCTCTGAGCAAAAGTCTGTGCAATGTCAGGGTGCGAGTCAAGGGGAGGCCATTCCTAATCAATCTGTGCTAAAACCAACGGAAGAAAACTCGGTGGTGCTTGATCCTAAAGGAGGGATGAATGTTAGCAGCCAACCTGCTGCTGTCCGCATAAAGGCATGCTCAGAGGATGCAGGTGAAAAGGAGGAGAGCAAAGGCCAGGGAGATGCTGGCCAGGCTCAGACAGCCAGCAGCCAGAGCCTGCAGGCAGGACTGATGCCCGAGTTGAGCGTGAGCTCTGCATGTCTCACCCCTCCCTTGGAGGCATCGGTAGCTCCCCAGCAGCAAGGTCTCCAGGCCAAGGAGTCCAGACGCGAGCTTCACACCACAGCTCTTCCTGCTTCAGCTCAGGCCTTGCCAAACCTGGGGGAAAACAAAAAGCAGCCCACCCCAGCCATGGAGGCAAAAGTGCAGGTGAAGCAGTCCAAGCACGTCAGGGATGTTGTTTGGGACGAGCAAGGTATGACGTGGGAGGTTTACGGTGCTTCCCTCGATCCAGAATCCCTGGGAATTGCCATCCAGAACCACTTACAGAGACAAATACGGGAACACGAGAAACTGATCCGGGCCCAGAACAGTCAGACCCGGAAATCCATTTCCTCGGATACATCCTCAAATAAAAAACTGAAAGGGAGGCAGCACAATGTGTTCCAGTCCATGCTGCAGAATTTTAGGCGTCCTAATTGCTGCGTCCGACCCGCTCCCTCTTCTGTGTTAGACTGATGTGGTTTGCAGGGGTGCATAGATGTCTGCGGTGGTAGAGAGAATCCCTCCCCTCAAGTCTCGAGTCCTGCTGTTCAGTTGTGTTATTGGGGTTGTGATGCAGCAACAGTGGAAAATTATTCCCCTTTGTTTTCTGAGTAGCCACGTGCTCCGTCACACCGTTATTATCGCTACAGCTGGTGCATTTCCACATTATGCCCCCATCCCGACTACTGTCAGATGAAAAGCTAGGCACTTAGCAAAAGCACAAATTTAAATTGCCACCTTGCTGCAGGGTGAGCAGCACCTTCTGATAAAGCAAGATGCAGACAGATTGTCAGAATTATTATGGGAAGTTATTTGTGTGCATCACGAGGTCTTATACAGAGGGGTGGGCTGGGGGAAGCTGGGTGAGGTGAAACTAAAGTCCAACAGCTGTAAAGACCTAATGCAATACAACTTTCCTGCTGTGTAAGTTACCCACGCTGAGGCAAGTCCGTGAAAAGGCTGCGGACATTGGTCACTGAGCCGTCTCACTTCTGTTGATACTGTGGGGCACCGTTCTCACGTGAGCCCCAGAGAACCAGGTCTTCCCCTCCCATTGAAATGGAGAACCAGGCAGAGTGAGGATCAAGGCTGAAGGATTAGCTCTTTGGGAGAAGTTAAGTCAATGGGATTTTGATGGCTAGAAGGGGAGGTGAGAAAGGGATGCATTCTGCAGCTTTTTCTCCCCTGCATCAGCCATGCTTAAGGTATAAGCAGGCGATGGGCGCAGAGCAGGCAAGGCCCGAGAGAGCCCGTCAGTAGACGTACCCGCATCCGACAGGACGGTGCCCTCGCTGGGCCGTTCTGGCTCCTCAGCTGGGGTGGGCAGCGCCTGCTGCCAGCCTCCTGCGGCGCTGAGCACCTCTCCTCTAAATCACTTTATAAAGTGATGTGCATCTTTTTTCTTTATCCAGAGATGCACAGTAACATTTTCCCATAGGAGCAGGCTATCCTGTGCATCTGGGTCCATGAGCCTACATGTCTAGTGTATTACACTGATTTTTTTCCTTTTAAGTCCTTAGCCAAATCTGCTTTTTTGTTTTGCAGTATTTTGGCGCTTTTCTTGCTGCCTTTCATAAACTGAATACCATTTATTTAGCCTGTGCGTATTTTGTTTTACCTAATGCTCTCTATATTATAAACCATTATATTGTTAACTCGAAACATTTACTTTACAAAATTACTGAAATCTTGAGACAATCTTTGCTGTATTAGAAAAGTTGTAGAAACTGCTAATAAAAGGTAGCTTAGTGACTGTTTCTCCAGAAGTGTGATATACAATAACGTCTCAACTATATGTTGGTCACATTTCTCACTTTAACAATATTTTTCAACCTGGGAAATGTGTTTCCCACTAGCTTTTTATTCTGTCCACTAGAGTTCATGATGGGAGGCTGGGGAACTCCTGCAGTTTGTAGAAAATTTAGTTTTCAATCCTGCAAAGCACTGAGGATTTGGATATTGTAATCCTGCAGAGTACTAGAGTTAAATAGGGTTATTTTTATTCCATTAAAGATTTTTCATGAATAATGATGATAATTTATTTCTGTCTCTAGTACCACACACCAGACTTACTCTGTAGATCTTACTCTTACAGCTTGCTCTGTAAATCTTACAGGTTTACACAGTGTAAATGAATACTACTATCCCCCCCCTTCTCTTTTTTTTTTTTTTTTTTTTTTCCTGTGAAGCAGACCTGAGGTGGTCCCCTTTTATTTAGGAGGCCAGACATTTTGGGTATATCAACTGCCAAGCCTTCAAAGCAGCTGTTTTGGGGCAATTTTTCCCTGACAGAGAGGTAAACACTGTAAGATACAATATTTTAACCCAGCTCAATGAAAAGTGTTGCCCCTAGGCATAGTACTGAATTGACTCCTAGTTTTACTCTGGTATGTGTTTGGGGGCTTTATGGCACATCCTTGTTCCATTTCTGTACATTATTTCAAGTCCTCTCCAACTTGATGCTGAATTGCTGAGTCTGAAATACCATATTGGAGGGTATCTTCTCACCTCTGCCTACCAGGAGGAAAGTCTCCTACCTTTTTTCTGTTAGTACTACTGTTGCCATCCCCTTCCTAGCAGTGTCCAAGATGTGAGTTTCATGTGAAATTTTGTGTGGGATTAATATTGGCAGTATCATTAGGTCAGGTTAGTTGTCAAGTTTGATGTCTCTTCCCACGTTGTGTCCTTGTCAGCCCTGAAGAGGTTCCCCGAGTTGTCCGCAGTGTTTACTGTGTCCTGTCCAGGTCCAAGGCTTTGCGCTGCTCCTTTCGCCTCCCTTCTGCCCTCTCCCTCGCTAGCTGCTGCCTAGCCTGTCTTCCTGCGAAACCGTGTCCCCTGGCCCAACTCGCACCCCTCTCTCCACTGTACCCCTCGCTGTAGTGTTGTGAGCCAGCTTACTCTGAACTGTCCCTTTACAAATATGCTCAGTCTGAATATACAAATGGATTGTCATATTTTTTTCCAGAGGAGAATAAATGGCTATCACGCATTCACCAATTTCCATGAACTTTATCCTTTAGCTTAAGCTCTCCAAAACATTTCTAACGTTGGGGTGTGAGTTGCTTTATTGAGACCAAACTGGGCTTGGCAATGAATGAGCAGGGTGCTGGGCCGGCACTGGAATTAACTCTTCTTCGTGAGGAATGGGAGATCTCTCCTGGTTCCCTGCAGCTGCTTCCAGCTGTGAGTCTTCACCAGCCGGTCCACCCACACCTCCCACCCCAACCAAACTTTCCTCCAGGAAAATTTCACCAATACATACGTACCACAAAATGCCGACGGGCAGGTTACTAAGTGGATATATCTGAACAACTGCATGGAAAAACCATAGTGGTCAGCAGAGCACTGTGCTTTTGTTTTCTGGGAAAATACGAGCGTAAAGACAAACTGCAAAATACCAGTGATGCTGCCTGGTGGGCACAGAAGTCCTGCAGGCGTGTGTTTGAAGCTAAGCAATAACGTGCCAAAAACCACACACAAAAACGAGTCGATAATCACCAGCGCGTCTCACGGAAAATATTTTTGGTTTTTACTTTGCCTTGCTAGGGCAGACTGTAGGCAACCGGATAATTTAACACTGATAATTTATGCTTTCTCCTGCATACAATGACAATGTGAATCCTTGTAGGAATGATTCATCTTTCACCAGCAGCGAAACAGAACCATGTTTTGGGTAGCAATTAGCAAATATCATGCATGTGAGTGGTCTTGTAGCAGCCAAGAAAGACTGTTCTTGGTGTCATGTCAACGTCAAAAATGAAAGTATGCTTGGAGTAACGGTATGGCAGAGGGTAGGGAGAGATGATCCATGTGCCACCACCCTGCTCTTTTTCTCTGCCCAATGACTCGGAATGACATTGCATTGGTTGAATGGTTAACAACCAAGGAAATCCATTTGGGCTAATAAAAAGAGGGTTCAAAACAGAAAGTACTTTGTCATTCCCAAGAGTAAATCGGGGGGGAGGGGTGAGGAGAAAGACCTGTGTTGCAGGCTAGCCAGTTGAAGTAACTTAAATTCAGTTTGTTGCAAGATGAGAAATTTTGGGAAATAACCTAATTGTCAGGAGACTCTTCCCCATTGGTTGCATCTTCTGTGAAGGTTGACATGGCCAGAACCATTAATAAAAGCAGTGAATAAAAACAGAAGAGTTACTTCTAGTTTCACTTCAGGAGCTTTTCACTAGGAAAGATGAGAGTAAGCATGTTTCAGTGTTGCCAATACAAAGCCTGCGTTGAAGGAGAACCTCATTACAGGCAATTTGCAATATAGCCCTGGATTTCGTGTGAGGCTGTGACATCCACCACTGTCTGTGTGTGCTTGACTGGTGTCTGCCAGCTTTGTGTTGCCTTGGGCACAAGTGCTGAAGTCCATTTCTGCTGACTTGGTTTGGAAAAAAGAGTGGGGAAAGAGCTGGAGGGAAAAGGAGGAGAATATCTGTGTTCTCCATTTCAGAGGAAGAAAACCTCTCTTTGAACATATACGAAGGAATTGCTGAGAAACATGGGGAGGGAAGGAGCAAAAGAAAACTAAAACAAAGTTGATGTAGGTACTTCATAAGGAATTCCCATTCCTATGTCTGTAAAGCCAACGTTTTGCTTAAGTTTTGCCCATTTGTTCATTCTGAGCTCACACATTTTTCATATTGTTGGTGTCCCGTGGCTTTTAGGAAAATGAAGATTTCCAAAGGCTGTATATTTTGCTAGTATATATAGATATATCCAAATACAATTCAACAAAACCACTAGGCAAACAACCTCAGTTTATTACCGCTACTACCACATAAGAGTCTGTAAAATGCACCGTTTGGAGAAGTATATTCAAGGGATCCAGAAAAGGTGAATATATGCTCTAAAGATAACACTAGCTTTTATCTTGAATTTCATTACTATGTTGAAGTGTTAAAGTTAGAAGTGGAAATCCAAATGAAAATCAGTGTTGAAGTTGATGGAAAATTCAAGTTGGCTGCCACTGGTTTACAGTTTGGAAACTTGATGGAATCTACCATACCAGTGTTTCGTTACTTAGCTCAGTATATGCAAGGTTTGTATGAAAGTACAAATTTTATTAGCTTATTAGCTCCATTGTCCTGTTCTGTGTCTATCCTTCTATGCCTTTTAAAAATGAATGCAAAAGGTTACCAAGACAGAGTAAGTCTTTCATACACAGCATATGGAAATGGCTGCTCTGAATGAGAGACAACTGATTGTCAGGCTCCATGGTCCTAGAAAGTTAAGGGCTACGGCCTGAAGGAAACTCTCCCCTCCTTTTTTTTTTCCCCCTGTTTTTTTAATGTTTCAGCCTCTGCTAGTTTATTTTTTGGTGACCCTGTGATGCCTGTATAAGTGGTCAGTATTTTCAGTCATCCCAAAGATAGATCCCATAGATCCTTACCCAAATGCTGCACACTACCAAGTATCTCCGGAATCACTGGATGCTGTGGTGGTCCATGGGCCTGAATCAGGTCTTGTACATT